CTCTCCAAAACGGCTTCTCTGACACTCCAGGTAGCGAGGGAGTTGGGTCTCCAGGTTGTGCGAGGAGCAAATGATGACCGCCAAGGCCGTAGACAAAATCCCAGTAACTCTCAGTGGTTTTGTGCACCAGCTGTCTGACAACATTTACCCCGTGGAGGACCTCGCCGCCACGTCGGTGACCATCTTCCCCAATGCCGAACTGGGAGGTCCCTTTGACCAGATGAACGGAGTGGCTGGAGGTAAGCCGGGTGCCCCTTTTCGGGCCGATACCCACGCAACTCGGAGGTAGTAGGTGGGGTGCGGCGTAGGGGCGCGAGGTGGAGGATGTTCACTGAACTAGCTCTGAAGACTGGAAGGGGGTTCAGGAACAACTCGCAGGAGCAGGGACCCAGGCGCTGAAGGTGGGCACGCGGGCAGGTGGGCACGCGGGCAGATGTCCCAGGTCGCCAGCGAGCTGGCGAGCGTGCGCCGCGGCGTGCGAACCCCCAGGCAGGCGCAGGGATGAGCGTGGGAGAGGTGGACTTTGGGGTCTGTGCTAACCCTTCGGTCGGCCGACCTACCTCCGGTCCCCCGGGTTAGGGACAACGTGGCTGTAAACTTCGGGGCTCTGGAGGAGAGCTGCGCTTCCGAAGAGCCAGACCGCGGAGATGCTCCAAGGGAAAGCGTGCGCCTTTGCCTCTCCGGCGAGCAGACCTGGGGGAATTCTGTGTGCCCGGGTTGCGTCCTGAAAGAGCGCTCCACCTGCTCGCTGCCCGCGAAGTTGAGGGGGTTGGCGAGTTGGCGAGGCGGGGAAGAGGAGAGGAAGGGCAGAGGAAGGGCGGGCAACAGCGGCGGCCCCTGGCTGCCGAGGGAGACCCGTGGGGCGACCCGCAGCTCCACCTTCTTTGGCCGCGCGGTGTGAAGTCGTCTCCCGCGGCCCCCGCGCCTTCCTCGAAGCCCTGCCACTGGCCTGGGGCTGGCGCAGGGACGCGCTGTTGTCAGACTAGATCATGACGGTTGGGAGGGAAGGAAAACGTATAGACTCCTTCCCCCGCAGCACCCAGTTCCCACCTGCAGCCTTTGGCTGCTGCAGCGCAGCGGGAGAGGGAGGGAGGGAAGGACCCGGGATAGGGAGTTGCCTGGAAATCACTGGCTGGGATTCTTGGGCTTCCCTCTCTTACTGGCATCTTATCTACAGTGTCGGGGAGGGGATCTTATCTCTGGGGTGGTGCCTCCCAGCCATGGGACCTCCAGGCAAAGAGAGAGAGAGACAGAGAGAGAGGGAGAGACAGAGAGACAGAGAGAGAGAGAGAGAGAGAGAGAGAGAGAGAGAGAGAGAGAGAGAGGTTCCAGGCAGATGGGGAATTTTTAATATTGTTGTTGCTATTATTGGGTGTTTTTATTGGGGACTAGAATCACAGATGGCTGTAAGTGTGGGGGGGCGTTGTGGAGTAGCTCATCATGCTTTCCTGGAGGTAGTTCTTGAGTCCCAGACTGTTACTGGCTGCCACGGTGGGATGTGCGGCTAGCCTCTGTCTCTGGGCTGCAAACTTCCCACCAGTGGAACTCTGCCCTAGCCTTACAGTGCTGGGACCCCGGGTTTGGCAGGAGACCCATGCGAAAGGGACTGACATGGAATTCTTGGCTGCCTTCTCATTGCTCCACCTCCGTTCTTTCTTTTCCCTCCCCAGATGGCATGATCAACATTGACATGACTGGAGAGAAGAGGCCCTTGGATCTTCCCTATCACAGCAACTTTGCTCCTGTCTCTGCACCCAGAAACCAGACCTTCACTTACATGGGCAAGTTCTCCATTGACCCCCAGTACCCTGGTGCCAGCTGCTACCCAGAAGGCATCATAAATATTGTGAGTGCAGGCATCTTGCAAGGGGTCACCTCTCCAGCTTCAACCACAGCCTCATCCAGCGTCACCTCTGCTTCCCCCAATCCACTGGCCACGGGACCCCTGGGTGTGTGCAGCATGTCTCAGACCCAGACTGACCTGGACCACCTCTACTCTCCGCCGCCACCTCCTCCTTATTCGGGCTGTGCAGGAGACCTCTACCAAGACCCTGCAGCGTTCCTGTCAGCAGCCACCACCTCCACCTCTTCCTCTCTGGCCTACCCACCACCTCCTTCCTACCCATCCCCTAAGCCAGCCACGGACCCAGGTCTCTTTCCCATGATCCCAGACTATCCTGGATTTTTCCCATCACAGTGCCAGAGAGACCTACATGGTGCAGCTGGCCCAGACCGCAAGCCCTTTCCTTGCCCTCTGGACTCCCTGCGAGTCCCCCCTCCGCTCACTCCACTCTCCACCATCCGCAACTTTACACTGGGGGGTCCCAGTGCTGGGGCCACAGGGCCAGGGGCCAGTGGAGGCAGCGAGGGACCTCGGCTGCCTAGCAGCAGCTCAGCAGCAGCCGCTGCCGCCGCCTATAACCCACACCACCTGCCACTGCGGCCCATTCTGAGGCCTCGCAAGTATCCCAATAGGCCTAGCAAGACCCCAGTGCATGAGAGGCCTTACCCGTGCCCAGCAGAAGGCTGTGACCGGCGCTTCTCCCGCTCTGATGAGCTGACACGGCACATCCGAATCCACACAGGGCACAAGCCCTTCCAGTGTCGGATTTGCATGCGCAACTTCAGCCGCAGTGACCACCTTACTACTCACATCCGCACCCACACTGGTGAGAAGCCCTTTGCCTGTGACTACTGCGGCCGCAAGTTTGCCCGGAGTGATGAGAGGAAGCGTCATACCAAAATCCATCTGAGACAGAAGGAGCGTAAAAGCAGTGCCCCCTCGTCTTCCATGCCAGCTGCCCCCGCGGCTTCCTGCACTGGGGGCACTCAGGCTGGGGGGCCGCTGTGCAGCAGCAACAGCAGTTCTCTTGGTGGAGGGCCCCTTGCCCCTTGCTCCTCTCGGACCCGGACACCTTGAGATGAGACCTAGGTTGACCTATCAGCAACTTGAGGCCCAGGAGGCCCTTCGTCCACTCTTCCACTAGAGCTGCACGACAAACACTACCACCCTTTCCTGCCGCTCCCTCCCTTCCTTGGGCAAAGGACTTTGGTGGAGCCCAGCACTGCCCCTCTACCCCCACCCCCATTTAGAAACCGGTCCTTCCTAAAACTTAGCCTACTTTAGTCTCTCTTAGGTGAGTTGACTATCACCCCAAGGTAATGGGGAGGCTTTCAAGGGGGTTGCATGGGGCCCCTGGCCTAGGGGGCTGAGATCTGACCCTTACTTAAAGGCTTATTTGACTAGGTTTTGCTTCCCCTCACCCCTCTGGTTTGGCTGGTTACAGGTTTTTGACTCTGGATGTCAGAGTTGATCCGAGACTTTTTCTACAGTAGGTTGGGAGATGCTGATTCCTTCAGGTGGGGACAGCAAAGAGACAGAAGCAAAACTGATGTGCACTTTATGTCTTGGGACTGATTTGGGGGATGCTGTACAGCGAGTGAAGCATGGCCTTTATGCTGCATTCTGTGGCCCTAGAACAGTGAGTCAAAGCTTATCTAGTCGTCTCAGCCCTTTAAGCAATATGTATTATAAACTCAGAGAACAGAAGTGCAATGTGACGGGAGGGACATAGCAATATCTGCTCCTTTTTGAGTTGTTTGAGAAACGTAAAGACTATTTTTTCAGTGTATATCCACTCAGATATTGTGTATTTTTGATGTGCACTGTTCTCCAAGTTCTGAACCTTTGGGAAAAAAAGTAAAGCATTTATGATTTCTTGAAATGAGTCAGAGGTTAACTTATTTAAAAGGGATGTACATAGATTCTCGGAAACTTGGATGCATGCAATTGTGTTGGAAGTGTCCTTTGGTGCCTTGTGTGATGTAGACAATGTTACAGGGTCTGCATGTAAATGGGTTGCCTTACTATGGAAAAAAAAAATCACTCCCTGGGTTTAGTATGGCTGTATATTTCTGCCTATTAATATTTGGACTTTTTTTTAGAAAGTATATTTTTGTATGCTGTTTTGTGACTTAAAGTGTTACCTTTGTAGTCAAATTGCTGATAAGAATGTAAATAATGTTACCGGAGCTGACTTGTTTGGTTATTAGCTCTTAATAGTTGTGAAAATAAAAATGATTTATTCTAACGCAAAACCACTAACTGAAGTTCAGATAATGGATGGTTTATGGCTATAGTGTAAATAAATACTTTTCAACAATATTTTTGCTGCAAAAATCGTTTATGAAAAATGTACTGAGTGGGAATTCAGTGGTTATCCAACAATTTAGTGGGACTACTGAAAAACAGCATCTCGCACCTTTGGATTTTATTGCTTTGAGCCAGCCAGGATACCCAAGTTTTCTTTGCTAGCCTCCTTACCCCAAAGCAATCTTCATTCATAATCAAACACTAGTGTTCCGGGGATTTCCCCCATGCATTAGTGTAAAAGTGGGGAGGCGTTATTTTGACTCATTGTTCCGTCCTCTGTAACAGCCTATAGCTTTTCTCCACTCCTGAGTGGGCTCCGGAAAATAAATACTTACAAACAAGTGCCCACTCGGAGAATACACACTTGCGGCTGCTTTTGGAACCCTGACCAGGGCTGCTACAAACTCAAGAGGAGATGTGGCTTTGTGGAAAGTGTGGTGGCGTGGTCAACCTGGAAATGACTTTCAGGTTCCAGGATTAGTCTCAACCGCAGAAAACTTTTTGAAAATCGCTATCAGCCATTCAGATCAAAAATGCTGTCAGGCACTGCTGATGACAGCATTAATGGGTTATCAAAGGAATTACCCTGGATTCATATCTCTCTAGGCATCACTTACCCATTGATTACCCGTATTTGGAAGGATCATTTATTTACCATAAGCTTAGTAGGTCTAGAAAATATCAGAATATTCGGTTCATTAAACTAGTGTGCACGAGCCTGAGGAAGATGAAAGACAATTTGAATAGGCAAATCTGGCTCTCCATGGTACTGGATAATGGTTTGTTCACTAGGGTTTATTTTACTGTGAACCTTTTGAAATGATTTTAAAATATAAATTCACCAAGAAAGTGTTTGTCTACCTATCAGACAAGAAAAAAAGGATTGTCTTTGTAACTTATCCTGACTTTTAAAACGGGGCCTAAATATTGAGTTCACCCACTGCTTCTGGATGCTTACAGGATAACATATTGGAGAACCCACTGCTGAGCTACATCTAAAAACCGTATCATCTGTCCTTTGTCACTTTTAGGACTCCCTCAGACCTAGCTGATGATTAATGACTTGTAGTTAAGAACAGTAGTTACCTCTGTACCTTTTACCCTTACCCACTCTGGAATATGAGACCTAATTTACGGGGTTCACTAACCCTTTATTTCCTCCTCTATTTCAAACACATAGAATACCTCTTTCTAGAACTACTAAACACTATGTCTCTAAACTTCAGTGACAGATTTGTTCGAGACTGGTAGTTATGCCATTAAATTCCTATTTCCTAGCTTGTCAGATTATCCTTGCTTGGGCCAATTTTGTTCAAGTAAAATGTCTGAAACAATACTACATTTTGGTACTTTGTATTTTTAATGACTACTTCCCTACTGAAATTTAGTTAAAATATAGCATAACTGAATTTTGTTAATATAATTTTGCTGCCAAATTCTAATTCCACAGCACCTTTAATCAAGATGTAAACAATTCGCCCAAAATCTATTTTTGAAAGTGAGATTGAATACATTTTGACGATAGTCAAAATTAGTTATATAACCACTTCAACTTTGATACGTGGGCTTGATGAAGTGGCATAACATAACCCATACCTCAGTGTCTTCTCAGAGCCAACCTTGTGGCTTTTACCCGTTGATTTCAACGTTAGGTCAATCTTTAATCAGATTTTACTCTGCTTGAAACATTCCAGGTACTTTTTGGGGGTGTTTTTTTTTTTTTAACTTTGCTCAAGAAATAAAGCATATAAAGCAAAGTTGGTGACTTCTTATATTCAATATGCGTTATTATATATCATTGATGTTGCAATTGTTAATAGGCGTTTTTATTAAAAGTAAACTTTGGGTGAATAATTCCTTAAAGAACCTAATGCATTTGTAGTGGTTCAATGTACATTAAAAATAGGTCTGTAAACCTAAATACGGTTTTGTTATTGTTCATAAACCAGGGAATTTGTTTCAATGTCCTAACTGGTAATGAAAATAGGGCAAATTGGTATATATTAAAAGTGGCTGTAGTGACATTAAGAGTCCAGTACAGTTTGGGGGAAGGCAGAGTGGAGGGAACAGTGGGCATCAACACAAATGCTGATAATGCTGCCAGTACAAACTACAGTTAAATTCCATGGAAAAAAGAAAAGCAAAATATTTTTGACTACAATTTCTTTCCTTCACAGATGAAAGTACTTTTGTTTTCCTGAACGAGTTTATTTTCCTTAAGTTAAATATAAAAGTTTTTTCTGTTACCGCAAAATAGTATGATTAGACATTAAATAGTTTTGGATGTGTCTACAATTCAACTATTTCAAAACATACTCTCAAGGAAATAATTATTAGTCTTAAGGTAATATTATTATTTGAACTTAGATTCTGCAGAAGGTAACTCAGTATAGACATATAGTAGAGACCATGAACCTTTAACAGTAATTAAAATGTAGACATCATAGCAAGTAATACTTTCATTTTCCATCTTTCAATAACCAGTAAAATTTACCTCTAAGCACTTCCAAACATGCCTTTATTTTCCATAGGTACACTGATTTTAATCCAGAAATGTAAATATCCCTGGAAGTTAAGATTCAGTATCTATATGGGGCTTAACAAATGTTTTTCTTCTTTGACAGTAGACACCACTGAAATGAGCAGTGGTCAGCTTCTCTTTGTAACTTTTAAGTGCTGATTTCAGACCAGGAGAGTTACAGGAGTGGCACTGTCCTCAGGGTAGAGTTGAACAGCAATGGGCAGGAAGCCCTGAATTAAAGCTATATTGCTTCTTTTAGAGCTAGTGCACGGAATTCAGAGTCACTGGAATAGATAGATGGCTGATGACAATGTCCTCCTGAGATGCCAAGACTGAGGAACCTACAAGGGGACTGTGCAAAAGGAGGACCAGAAAGTGTGATTTTGGAAATGAAGGGCTATTCAATTCAAAATGTTGGAGAACCCACTCCTGTTGACAAAACACTTAAAAAATAGGCTCACCATTTTCATTCATAAACAGAAGTTGGTGTACATTCAATCCATGCAAATCAGGCTTAGTAAAAATCAATTCTCATAAAATAGTAGGTAGGTACACAATACTCTGCAGTGATGTAACTCATTGATAGAACCAGAGAACTAAAAAGTTTTAGAAGTATTTAGACAGACAACTTCTCATCCAGGAGAGGCAATTATTGCATTTGTTATTCAATAGGAAAGTGATTAGTAGTATTGTGCTCATTAGTCTTTTGTAGGGGAAGACAACCTTTTCCCACAGGTGCTAATAAAACAAAGTCTATATGGCAGGAATATATAGAAACACAATAGCAGCACAAGTCAGTCATGACTAACAGTTTATGCAGAGGTGCAAGGTGGTACTGCACCATATTTTATCTTTGCAAGAACATTCTTTCCGAAAAAACAAGTTACATTTCGTTTTCACCATTAACTCACAATTTCTTAATCAACCAAAAGTTTCACTGTTCTTAGTGAACTAAAGATATCATATTGCTGTTTCAGCTTGCAAATTTTTCAATTATTCATTTGAAAAGCACCCCAATTTGCGTGTACTTGAGAACTTTAGAACTTTTCATGATAAAGTTTGGAAATACAATCACTCCTTTATTACTGTCCTATTGCTAGAATGAATTTCTGTAGGTTAAATGTATTCCAGATTGTATTATAGCATACATATCACTATCAACAATCTTTGTAAGTTAACCTTTTGCTACAATATAATTCACAACAGGTAGGTATGTGATTGATAAGCATACACATTCATTCCTGTATGAAAAGAATCCATACTGTGAATTTTTCTAGGAAAATCATTATTTGCATGTTAAAATTCACTTTTCAGACTGAATGGCATGAAGAAGGCTTCAAACTGCTCCCCAGGTATAATAAAACACACAAAAACGTGAAGCTAACAAAAATTCAAGCAACCTGGAAGAATGCTTGACATTATGACTGTGTTAGCTTTTACAATATAGTGGTAATATCAGGTTAAATATTCATCAAAAATTTGCTTTTGCATTCTATTTTAAAAATTGGAAACAAATATCCCTTCACTGTGTGTCTCTGCAACCTGGTGTGCCTACAAGAGGCAAAGGTACATACTACTTTCTTAAAGGGTCAACACTTTCCACCAATAGCAAATTTTTCTTTATTATAGACGACAGAACTCAATTGCCACATGGGAAAGTCAATCAAGAGGGCTTAGATGACAACTGGGCAAATTTTTATGTTTAGTTCTGGTTTGTTTTTAATTAAGATTTGTGAAAAGATTCCTATGAATAGAAAATGGAGGGAAACAACAGTGCTCTATGGGTCCAAGCAAATGGTATCAATACAAGGTAAAGTTGCTCATTCAATTAAAAGGACAAAAATAAAACTAGTCACAGCAAAACTGCTCATTTCAGAGGATGGGAGTGGGAAGTATTTTGTCCCAAGTTTTGGTGCCCTAATACAGCCGATAGTATAGTTAATTCTCAAGGGTTGATGACCGACCTGTGCCTTCTCTTTCTTCCTACAGAAAACCACACCAGGTGAAGCAAGCACTGGTTCTCTCGGAGGACTATGAGAACACTGCCACCAACAACACAGCTGGAATCACCAGCCCTCTGGGACATTAGAGCTACTAAGAGAATGGGAAACAGTCATCAACAGTATTTTTCTCTACTTTTGCTGAAAAATACTAGAAGTAAATAGGGGGAAGGAGTTCAACAGCTGGCTAGGAGTGTTTTACATTCAGTTGTTTGGAAGCATACTGATTCAGCTCTTCTGAATCTTCTGGTTAAAAAAAAATACAGAAATACCCTATCACCTCTTGAAAGTACAGTAAAACAAAACAAAACAAGTCACTTGAGGGTAATATAATTTTTGCATTAAAGGTGAATCTGCAACAAGAAATCTGCTCAAATCACAGATCTGTAGACTGATGGGGAAGGTAAGCTTGAAGTTGACTATTATCACTGAGATATGGAGGTGCTGAATCACTTAGTAGATGTTGCCTGAATAAGCCAGATGTGGCTTATTGGGCAAGGGGAGGAAAGAAGATACATCTTTTCCTCTACATGCATAGTTATGTTTTGAGGGTGATCCCCCGACTAACAAAAAAATGATTTAATTTTCACAAAGAATTAATTAGGCAGGACAGCTCATTTGAAACATTAACTCATTTCTTTAAATCTATTACCAATGACTTGAAGTAAAAACAATTCAAACCACTGGACCATGCAGTCAATAAGTTAAAACTCTTAACAATAAGAAGTAAAAGGGCTTAAGGACAAAAGTGAAAAACAAATCCTCTTTACCCAAGGCTGAGGAGCAGGGGATTGTAGAAAACCATTTTGGGTATTTTGTATAGGATATGGAACAGAGGGAAGAGTATTTTCATTATGGCTTTAGGAAGGAAGCGCTTCAGACAGTTGCCCCATCCACCCCGCCCCCATCCCAATCAAAACCTTGGTGGCAGTGAGAGCCAGGAAACAACCTGGCCCATTTTTGCCTCCCCGCCCCGTAACCGTGCCTGGTGTCTGCAGTACAGTCGCCCGAGCTTCCCAGGGCTCCCCAGGAAGCGCCAACTGCCCACACCAGTAGATCCGATGCCAGAGCCTGGGGGTAGGGAAAAGAGCCCTTTTGGTGGGTTGCAGGCAGTCAGGCCCAGACCTCAGTAGGGCACGCTCGCGGCGCGGCGCTTCAAGGGACGACCTTGGGACCTGGATAGGGCTCCCCTTCGCACCAGAAGTCATCGGCCTGCGGGGTCTCCAGGAGCCACACTTCTCGGGGCAGGTCACAGGCTGAGCCTGAGGCCTCTTTGGGCCGGATGGGCTCCAACACCCGGTAATAATGGCAGTCACGGCCGTCGTCTGGGTCGTAGGGCGGGGCCAGGATGTCCAGGAAGGCGGCAGGTCCGTCCACGGCGTCGATCTGGTGCAGGTTGTCCCGGTGCGGCGTGAGGACACAGGGGCCACTGGCCTCGGTGTACTCGGCGCGGGAGCGCAGCACGCCGGGCCGCAGAGCGTCCCGCTCTCGGGCTAGCAGGGGCGGCTCAAACTGCTGCGCCGGCGGCGGGGCCCGTTGCTGCTGCCCGCTGTCCGCTTCCAGCTTGTCCATGCAGCTGATGCGCACGGTGCCATAGAGCACCTTGAGCATGCCATGCATGCCCGGGTGGTCGTGCAGCGGGATGGACGTGCCGCTCTTGAGCAGGAACACGCCCAGGCTGAAGCCGTTCGTCTCGTAGATGTGCATGTAGGTGACCGGGGGCAGGTTGGGCGGCAGCGGCTGCAGCGTGGCTTTGCGCGGGGCTATGTTCAGGTCCTCGGCGCGGACTTGGGTGAGCAGGCCCTTCAACGTGCTCAGATTCTCTGGGAAGCCCTGCGGCATCGGCGCCTCGGGGCCTGGCGCCGCGCCGCGGTCGGAAGAGCTGCGGCCGCCCCCGCTGCCCCGGAAGGTGAGGCACGCCTGGCGGGCGATCCGTTGGATGAGGGAGGCCATGTTGTCTCGGGGCATGCTCGGCTGCTCCTCCGCACGCCGCGACCGGGTCCCTCCGCCCCCTGTTTTCTTCCGCCCCTTTTGGTCCCCGGCGGCCGCCACGGCTGCCAGCAGCCTCCGGCGAGGCAGGAGGCCCCGCAACCACCCGCCGGTCGGGCGCGCGGCACCGCCGCAGCCAACCTCAGCAGCCACGCGCGCACAACGGCCCGGAGCGCCCGCCTCGCGCCCCCTCAGAGCGCGCACGCGCACGGCCCACAACCCGCACTCACGCTCTGGGAGCAGGTAGCTGGCGCGCGGACACTGGCAGGCTTTGCCTTACGCCCGCCGCTCCATTCATGCGGCCAGCGCTCTAGGACGGTGGCCGGGAGCGGTGGGGGCGTGCATGGCATGCTGGGACTTGTAGTCTGGCATTCTGTTTTAGCTCTGCAAGTTTCCGTTGTTGGCTGGAAAAGGGAAGGAGAGTAGATCTGTTGGTTATAAAACCACTTTGCTTAGGGTTCCTAGGTGTTTGCTTGGTTAAAAAAGAAATAAAAGTGAATCGGGGCCTAGGAGAAACAGTCACTGAACTACAACTCCCGGCAACTTCAGGAGACTGAGGACGCACTTCCGGCAGCTGTTTCGTGATGTGTTGGAGGCTCTTGGCCATCGCAAGGGACTGGACAAGAGGGTCGTTAACCTTCTGGCGCCGTGTAGTCGTCCTGGTTAGCCGTCCAGTCCCCTTCCTCTGTCCTTATCCTTGGGAGCTTATCCTTGGGAAGGAGGCCGTTGAGTTAACTTTAGCTTCTCGTGGCTGCCTGAACACCACTGTCTACCCCTGGGATTAAAAGACGGCCGGCTCTTTTCTAAGTTTTCTAGGAGGTGGGAGGGTTGAAAATGTCCTTGGTCCTCACCGCGATGATTACTCCGCACAGCAGTTTCCAGCTGTTGTTTGCATCCTGGCGTGATGCGGCTGCTCTGCTGGTTGCAAAGCACAGAGTTTTTTGCTGGGACTCCAGAAGCCGTTTGCTTTGGTCACGGATTCTTTGTACCAATGGTTATCTAAGTAATGGGCAGGCCATAAGAAGTGGAGCAGGAATTAGCACAGTTTTTTGAAACCCAGCATCTTTAATTGGTATTAAAAGCACGAAATGGAGAGTCAGGATATTGTTTCTCCGGACTGCCGTGCTGCTTAACATGCTGTGTGTCTTTAGGCAGATTCTACCCTTTTTATTTAGGTCCTCAGTTTATTTGTGGGATGCTGGGGTTAAGGTAAGAGTTCTTCTGAACAGAAATTACTCATCACATAACTGTCAATTCGTGCCCCTGGGAGCTTTTTAAAAATAAAGTTTTAGGGTCACACCCTAGAGTTTCTGATTCAGAGGAACTGTTGTGGAGCCTAGAATTTTGAAATGATTCCCAATCATTCTTACCAGCCCAGTTTGAGAATCACAGTTCCATCTGCCAATAGTGAGCCAAATAGTCTTAATATTTGGCGATTTTGATTGAGAAGGTGATTATTGTTTTAGAAAAAGATTCTTAAGATTGATTTTCAGGGTTTTCCATGCTCTTGTTATGTATTTAAATTTAAATTATATAGGATGGCAATACTGTCATCCTTTATTGTGAAAAAATAAGCGCGGATATTTAAAAAATTAATAAAAATAAATGTACTATCAAAGTTCAGCATGTAAAGAAATGCCAAGCAATCATTTTCTAAAGTGACAAATTAAGAGAAAAATCCCTTCCCTTTATTTACAAATCTGGATTTTTATTTATTGGTTTTGTTCCTATTAAGATATAATTAGTGGGAGGTGTAGAGTCCATAATACACAGAGTTGAGTAACGTGCAGATTTTTTTGATTTCCGGACCTGTCCCTTCTTAATTGTTGTCTTAATTACTTAACTGAATTTCATCTGTAAATTGGGATAATATGAAACATGTAAATAACTGTATGTGTGTACATGTGTAAATCTGAACCGTAGTAATTGCTCCTTAAATAGTCAAAGGCCAATGAATTGGAATACTATTCAGCAAATATTAAAATGGAATTTGAGTTGTCTTGAGAATAAACTTAAAGGTCGGGATTTTAAAAAAGAATATTATTATTGGTTAATTCTGGTAATTTCATTTCTCTGGTCCTTGCTATTTATTGTTTGAACAAAGTGTTCAATATCGAAAGGCTCCCTATATTGGAATCACCTTGGCAGTGTTGGTTGAGAGTGCAGGCTACCAGATCCTGTGGAAACCTGTCTGAATCTTTTTTGCACATTAAAGTTTTAAAGAAATCCTGAGTCTCCATAGGGCACATAGTGCTTCTTCAGGTCATGAATAGGCTACATCCATAATTCCTCTTCATGCTGCTCTTCAGGGCTGTGCTAACTGATAAGGTCAACCTAAGGGCTTTTACCCTTAAACATTTTATGTGGCCTGCTTTCAAACCCAGTAGCATAGGCTGAATGGGTTTCCATTACCATTAACATCATTCTTTTTTATGTTCCTTATTCTGTTTTCTTCTGTTTTGCTGTAAGCAGAATGAAGACCAGAAGAAATTCAGAAGTGGGAACAGACAAAAGAGAAGAGACACAGAACAAGCACTGGAAATACAAGGCAGAAACAAGGTTTGGGAAAAGGTTGGGATAGGAGATATCTATCATTCACTAATAGTAAGAGTATCCTCTGGGTCGCAGGCATTGCTGTGTTTGATGATTACTGTCATCAAGGAGCAAGGAAAACAAGTTCTGCACTTTCAAAGAATTTACCTGCAAGTGTATGTGTGCATTTGGTGAGTGGAAAGAGGGGGCCATTACATAGTACAAAAAAATTGGTGTGATATTTGTGTTATCACTAACTGTATTGTCAGGGGTGATCTGAAGATGACAATCTGTAGTGCTCCTTAATATTAAAGAGTCAGTTATGGAAAAATCTGTGGTCAGAGTATTCTAAGGCTGGGAAATAACCCTGAGGCTGGTAAACAGAGTTTTGGATATAATGTCTCTGATGAGGTGGGAAGGAGCTTGCTGTAATTGGGACAAAAAATGAAGGCCTGTGTGGTTTGGCTCCATAGTGAACTTCAGGGATCCTGGAGAGAGACGAAATTGGGGAGGTAGGCAAGGGCTATATATAAAGGCCTTATGTAGGCTTTATAGGCTGTGGTTAAGGAGTTATAGGGAGTTGAAGGTCATGGGTAGGTAGTTAGATTTTATTTTACGTGTGGTAAGAGGTATTTGGAGAGCAGGAGAATGACTTGGCAGGAGAATGACTTGACCTGTTTTCACATTTTTCAGAGATTGGTGGTGGTGACAGGGGTCCGGGACCCCATAACAGTAGAGAAACTGATTGGAGAAAGTAATCCAAAGGGAAGATGGGAACTAGTGTAAAGATTAGGAATTTATTTTGTAGGTGGTGCTGACAGGGCTTGCTGATGAGCTATTGCTTCAGCAATCTATTTCTTAAAGTATATTCTCTTCACATTTTCTTTTTCGCGAGTTGACAGCTATGTGGTAATAGGTAAGACTGATAAAGCTTAAATCTCACCTCCTGCCCACGTGTAACTATTAAATTTAGGAATGGGGGAAGCACACAGAAGCATGAGTAAAGCTGAGGGTTTCTTTTTGTTAATTTTTTTTTATAGTTGCTTCATTAACCAGGGACTTAAAAAAGCTGGAAGAGCCCCAAACTACACACACACACACACACACACACACACACACACCCTTTTCCTAACTCTACTTGCTTATGTTCTCTTCATTCTTTAGGAACTAGGCTTGTATTTTGTCATACGTTCTCCTTCTGTCCCTTTTCCTTATGAGGACTTACTTTCCTTAATTCACAAGATCGATTGCCTTCTGACTTTTCCTCAAATCTTTCTTTAGAATTCATTTGTCTATGTTTGTTGATCACCCTATGACCCAGTCAAGACTACAAAAGTACCTACATTCTCAAATGCTCAGAGTCCCTGTCTTAGTTATTTTTCTTATTTAAAAAGTGGACAGAAAATTTTCTTTTTTCCCAATAGTCCTTGCCACCTTACTCCTATTTCTACTCTTTATGTTAGTGTAGAATATGGTAAATAAATTGATTTAAAAATGTACCTACCTTTAGACTAACTTATTTTGAAGTGTTTTGGGTTTATAGTGTGACTTTCAGTTAAAAAAATGTTAGCATATATTTCTCCTCCATTGTTATGATGAATCTCAAAATAGTTGTGAAGTCAAAAGAACAGACTTTAGGCAGGGATTTGTCCTAAGTAGCTGTGTTGCTGAGTAAGTCACTTGCCTTCACTAAGCACAGGTATCTTCATGATTCTGGGAGATAGCTTCCGAGATTCTGACCTGCTCAATCTGGATCTGGAGACAATTGCAAGGACACTTCAGTCAAAAACTCTCATTTCATTTGAATTAATTATCCATAGCCCTTTTAGCTCCACCCATCTCCATCAGGGTCTTTTCAAGTAACTGCTCTACTCTTGTTTAACTTTGTGTGATTATCTGAAATCAAGTCTCTAGTGTATGAATATTTTAGCTAAAAATGCTAAGTGCAGGAATTTTTAGTGTTCAGTTTAGACTTTTAATATACCAATAAATTGCAGAGGTTACATTGTGTGATAGAAATCTTACACAGTGTTTTCTAACTGAATGATTTGATAGTCCAGCGTGTGTAAGATTCAGATGGAGAAAGTCTTCAATTGATTCTTTTTTTCTTTTCATTGCTGGTATCTTATTTCAGGTAATACAAAGGAAAGAAATTAAATTAGGAGAAAGAAATTAAAAATTAGGTGCATGCAGAGGAAGACTGAGGGGGAATGAAAGAGTTGTGGCTTTCACAAGCCAATCATGAAGTGTTTGCTGTGCCCAGTCTGAAGCACGGGTAAAGGCCAGGTGTTGCTGTTTTGGGGTGTGTTCAGATTATAAAATGATTCCCTTCCTTCCTGCCCCCAACAGTTTGACATTAGAGAGGTTTTCCTCTTCTCCTTTAAGTAGTGCAATTATTATGAGACTCAAAATAGTTCAGAACTGTAAATTAAATCCAAACACCCTTTACCTCTCTTAATTAACTCCCCCCCCCCAATTTCATGCTTTTTGTTTTTCTTTTCCTTTTTTTTTTTTCCCTCTAAGAAGACATCAGCTATCTCCACCTCCTCCGCTTCCCCATCTGTCCTTTTCCTCTTGGCTGAAAGAGAGATTTTTACTTTATATTTATTTTAATTAATGGATTTGAATCATAAGTGGTGAAACAGTTGATGTTCATCTTCAAGAGGCAGTGAAAGGGAAAATCATTTTCTTTTACTTGGCAGAAATGAACTATATGTTCATTGCTGTGTCTGCCTGAAAAATGACTGCGAAAGGGGCAAAGGAAGGTTCTAGAGTTGTGTGTCCTTTCATGGAAAAGACAACAAGAGTATCCCAGGACGACGGGACATAAAGATGGGAAAAATTCTTCAGAACGAAATTGTACTTTCTTGGAAATGTCATTTTCAAGGGATGCTGGGTAAATATTGCTCGATGGTTATGGTCCTTTAATTTAGGATACAATTTCCTAGGAACAAAATAGGATATAATTTAATTGCTGAAATTCTCTGATTAATAACATCTACCATAAGCATACCGCCTTTTGGCCTTTATTTGCACAAAGCAAATAGACTTTGTTCTTCTGCAGTGCTCCTTTGAGTGTTGGTCCAGGACATCCTGGACTGACTTAAAATAAATAGATAGTGTTACAAGAGTTTCAGAAGTGGGGCGTAATGCTACTAAATCAGTCTTCTTTTGAGAAAAAAAAACAACAAAGAAAACCCTCAAAACCTCTGTTGTAGCATTTTAGAGAAAGTGTGAGAAATGATAGTACAATTTCAAAGTGGAGCCGCAGGAATCCAGAAGAAAACAACTGAGAGGAGACCAGTTCTACTTTTGGTTCCCACAATCAGCTTTGTGAGTTTGGGCGAGTCATTTTATTTCTTGGAGCCTCCATCCCGTTATTTATAAAGTTAAGAATTTAGATCTTCTACTACTTTCCTTCCAGATTAAAAAAATTTCTCACTATTAAAAATTTTAATTATATGAAATTAAATGATATGATTTCATACCATGTAATAGTGTAGAGCATCACAAAAGACACATTATAAATGCATTTTAAAAAATGTGATGAGAACACTCTGTAACATGCATATAATGATACTTGGTTTCTCTTTTATGTTTGTGTTGTCTCTACTTAAAAAGATTTTATTTACATTTCTTGAATATAAGTCATTGAATAAAATGAGCATGAGCTCTGGTTTAAAATAATGTTTTCCATTATTCTTAAGTTTCTATAATTTTTCTAAAGCAAACTTTTCTCTTTCATTCTAAGCATGAATAATCATGCCACAAGAGTACCCTGTATTGCTATTGGGAAAAGGAAAACATGCCTTGAGTTAAGTACACATTTCACCAGGACCTGCTGAGGTAATTGACAACCAACATCACAGTGTAGAGAAACTACTCTAAGGCAGCAGAGCTTTAGTTTAATTAGATAATTAGCCCTGGTCAGCCTATAATGAATGCACAAGCAATTAGCAATGAATTTGGGCTGCTAAAACCTATTTTTCCTCCTTTGTGTTCCTTTGCCTTCATTAGCAACTCTAACTACTGAACAATTTATATCTTCACACTAAAATCAACTCTATTATTGAACTCTTTGCAAGCGATAAAGCAATGAGAACTGACGTTGGTTGCACAACATTAAGTGATTATGTTAAGTAATGCCATTTATTTGCCTAGCCATCCTGCTGCTATATTGTGTCACATAAATAGGGCTTTTAAAAGCAGTGCACACTCCTTGATTTTGATGATTGCTTTATTTGTCAAACCCGAGCAGCTAGCAAGAGATGTACCTCAATTTGTAGTTCTTAGTGGCTTTCAGTCTACTTGAATAAAAGAATCCTGTTCCATAAATCTATCAAAAGAAAGCAAGACCCTTAATAATGAGCCGTGTGTGTGTGGTTTGAAGATTCATGTTTGGAAGGGCTTGAGATAAAGCGACTTTCTTGGTAATCTTTCTCTGTTTGGAAATAGTTTTCAGTCTCATGATGACAGACGACACCACTGTGATTTTTTCCTCATATTCCTCCACTCCAAGGGTTTCCCATCCAACTGTCTTTTCTAAGGGAAAATGGCAGAAAAGGGAGGATTGGTAAAGGAGAGAGCTTTCAGACATGGAAGAGCAGAAGTTACCAAAGACACAAAAGTCATGTTCCTAAGACTTAATGTTACAAAGTGTTAATATCATGACATTTGTGTGGTTCTGGTTCTGGGCATTTCATTGTATTTCAGTTAGAAGTGGGCTTTGAAAAATGAACATTTTAAGTTTCCATGGGCAGATTATGTATCTACAAATGCTACAGGGCAGGCAGAGGGGCACTCCAGGCTTCCCAAACCTTCCTACTCTAAATAGGTTCTGCCATCCACCACATGAAGACAAAATATATAAGACCTTTAATGGAAAGGAACTTTAATACAATTAGTGAACAATACAGAAAAGATAAAGAATATAGTTTCTAAATCAAGCACCCAAGGTTACCCATTCCCTCATGGGTAAAAATCCAGCCAAACAGGGTTAGCTCAGAGCAAAGCCAGAAAGCCTGCCACAGGTATAAAGCACCTTCTAGCGGGGACCCACAGAAAAGGGTCAGAAACAGTCAGACAAGTCTGGAAGGAACAGAGCAAAATCAAAATCAAGATAAAGGCTGCCATTATTAACCTCCCCATGGGTCTCATAGCCGTGTCTGTTTCAACCAGTCCAGGACCAAGAAGCAAGTGCAGCTTCCTCACATGTCTCTCTGCTCCACCTTCCTCCTTCAGGTCTCCTTATGCTCCATGCTGCTTCCTTCCTCCTCCAGTCTCCTCCCCAGCGACCTCTCCTCCCTTCTCATCTTCACCCTCCTTTGGATGGGGCAGGGAATCTGGAACTTCCCCTTTTCCTGGGCACTACCCTGTTACACAAAGATTATAATTTGCAATGTCAGAATACGGCCTGATTTCTCTAGAATTTAATCTAGAGAACATTCTTATGACAATTCTATTTTACTTATTAATAACCTAATCAAATTTAGGAAGTTAAATGCAGTATTAGGAAGTTAGCTGATCAATAGCAGTTTAGGAATTAATTCAACAAGGGTATTGCTTATGATTTAAGCAGTATTAAAAATGCATAAACAATTTTTCTTCTGATTGGAATATGAGCACCAGCTTATAATTTCTTATCTTGAGATGTCCCATCTGTCTGGTCTTGGAAATACTTTTTCTCTTTTTTCCCCAGCAATAACTAGCAATTAGAGTTTCAGAAATGCCAATTTTAATCAAAACTCTCATTTCCAAAATAGAAAAACTTACACGAACTATATAAAGCCTCTTCATTTTATTCAATTGACTGTTTTGAAAAAGTAATGTAAATCATTCTGAGCCAGAATTAAGATGTCCCAGAAATGTTAAGGAAATAGTGCAAATCCTTACAAATTATGGGCTTTTTCCCTCTTATCATGGACATAGTAATTTCACTGGCATTGATATTTGTATCATCCAAATATCTACTTTATCTCATTCAGCTCATATAAAGCAGGGTCTCTCAACTTCTGCATTCTTCTTTGGATTATCTGATTCTTTGTTGTTGGGTCTGTCCTGTGCATTGTTTAGCAATATCCCAGTTTTTATCTACTAAATTACTGTAACAGCAACTGTCCCTCCCCACGGTACCCCATCCCATCCACCTTGGGATAACCATCAATATCTTCTGATATTGACTAAATTCTCAGGTTGAAGGACAAAACTCACCTTCAGTTGATAACAGTAATACAGAATAAGAGCTTGGCTATTTCTTTTTTTTAAAAACACTTTAATATTCAAATTATGTGTTGAATTTGGATGTCTAGATAGTGTTTAGTAGGTTGTCTTAAAAAAACAAATAAAAGCTTGGTTAACATCCCATTTGGAGTGACTTTTAGGGGCACTGGAAGAATGCTCCTGCTTCCAGATTCCACTTGACTTTCCAAGTTGACCTGCCATAGCATTGAAAGTTTGCAATCTTACAAATTTGTTCATTCTGTTAACGTACAGATACTCCTGAGAAAGGAGCTTCCCTTTACACTAAATGGAAACAAGTTTTTCAGCTAAAACTAACATGTTATTAATGTATACCTGCCATTTTACTTTTGGCAAGGTCCTTCAGAAGATGACCTAGATGAAAATTTCCTTGGGAGCTGAGATTTGGTCAGTACTGGAAGCAAGCACTATGTTTGAGTGGGGAAAGAGAAGATGAAAGGGAGGTGGATCCTTTAGACCACAATTTTTAATGGATCAACCTGAGTTGCTTACTATGTTTAAGTGTTTGTCTTATTCTACTAAACTCTCTGCATCTTTAAATCCTATTAAAAAAAAAAAACACAATGAAGACTATAATAGATTACATAGTTGTTGTTTTTTTTTTTAAAGATTTATTTATTTATGCATACAAGATCTGGGGCACAGGCCAGAGGTAAAGGGGGTGAGAAGATTCACCAGAGACAGAGTGGGGAGCAGAACAGGCAGATTGACTGAAATACACTGCTAAGGGGAGCAGCAGGCAAGACAGGAGAGGTCTGCTGTGCCATGTGGGCAGCTCCCTGGCCGGGGATCGAACTTGTGCTGCAGTTGCTGTTGACAGCTTCATAATGCTGCGACTCAACAACCCCTTGCGCCACCAGGAAGGCCCAAGTTGGTGTTTCTTAATGTGCTTCCTATGTTACTCTATTGGGTATCCCAAGTTCATTTTGAAAAGTTACTGGTACGTCATCTCTGAAAGTTTAGATCACCTGACAGCTGAGCCTTTTATCCGTACTAATAGATAAGGTACCAGCCTGGTGGAACCTGCTTTCCCCTCTTGTTTAACATGTCAGTGACTCGTGCTTTCAGGCCTAGAAGATGAGTTCCTGCACCTTCCAGCATTATTTAACAACAGTGTTAAGGGATGGTCCTGCTTGGGAAATTCACAACTTCCCATAAGTAAATGTTCAGATTGTTATTAAGTTAAAAAAAAAAAAAAACATTCTAATAATTAAACTGATAATCTTTTAAAAGGAACTATCTAAATCAGGACAGACAGAGATCTGATGGCTAGCAAGCTGAGGCTAGTATAGGACATTTTCATAAATACCTTAGTAGTTTCCCATACTGCGCATCCAGGTAGCTATAGATTTCAGTTATTCATGCCGGGTTTTTGCTTGGTTTTCTTTTCTTATGGAATACTGTATCCCCGCACTTGCTTGGTTTTCTTTTCTTATGGAATACTGTATCCCCGCACTTGGCTATGATCATACCTCTAAGTATAGGTTCTATTTTATTTTTAAAATTTCCATCCAATCTTATTTGCCTCTTCATTTCCTCATTTCTTTCTAAAGTGAGGGAGCAAATTACATCGCAGATGACAGTTGGATTTAGACCACAGGCATCTCCTCTGCAGAGACTAATTTATTATGTCAAGATTATGTCAATCACTGTAAAGTTTTATAGACTCCTTGATTGATTTTCTATTGATCTTACACTTTCTAGTGGTTAACCCACCCTGTTTTCCAAAATCCAGTTGTACAGCAAAGTAAAATATTTTTCTTGTTTGTTTCAAGAGTTTTTACTTTTAGGCTCTGTAGTTTCACTGTCTGTATTGATCTCATCATTTATTTATTTTTTTAGGTTCCTTGCCTCAAACTGGACTAAATGGTTCCTCTTTTTTAGTTATGATTTACACATACTATATAAGTGGTTGTCATAATATTTTAGACAAGTATTTCACACTTGTCCCTTTTCACTTTGCCAGTCTAGCATTTTGTTTTTTCTTCTCTCAGATTTTCTCACAAGCATTCACATAAAGATTTTTTTAGTAATATTATTATTATTTTTAAAGATTTATTTATTTATGCATACAAGAGCTGGGGTATAGGCCAGCGATATGGAGGGTGAGAGGACCCACCAGAGACAGAGTAGGGAACAGAACAGGCAGTCTGACTGAAATACACTGCTGAAGTGAGCGACGGGTGAGTCAGGAGAGGTCTGCTGCGCCATGTGGGTAGCTCCTTGCCCGGGTATCAAACTTGTGCTGCAGAGGGTGCGGATTGCTTCATAGTGTGGTGCTTAACTCCTTGCGCCACTGGGGATGCCCAGTAATATTATTTTTGATCATGTTTTTAGTATTCATACTGGTAACAGTATTGATAATTCTATGGCCATGCAAGTGCATTGGATTGTACATTTCTTGAGGACAAAGACTGCATTTAAGTAACATTTTAAACAGAATCTAGGATGACACTAAGAATATCTTAACACATGTTAGTGACCGTGGGGCCTATTCCTTTTGTACTTTTCCAAGCAGGTCAAATTCTGGAATTTACTCCTAACAAAGATGGTAACTGGGGAGTGTTACTGGAGACATGAGGACAGTAGTGCAGAGGAAGAAGAAAATCAGCAGAGATGCTGCTTTAATGTATACTTTGCCTAAGAGATAGAAAAAGGGAAGGGATATTGAATTATTTTCCTTTTTTCTCTTCCTACTAAAAAAAATGAAGGGAGATAGATAAATAATCCTATTTTAGATTTGTGAGCCTCAATTAGGAAACATTAGCATGAACTGTCAAAGAAATCAACTATCTGAGAATTTGTGACCAGTGATGACACCTCACTTTCTCTCCTCTCCCTTTCCTGCTAAGGGGCACACCTGGGAGGCTGCATACGCTGGCTGAGAAGAGAGCATTCTTACCCTGATTGTGTTACTTGTCTTAGAAGACCAGCTCTACCTGAAACAGGGAAAAGGTCATAGGAGACTGCCTCTGCCTCGAATTTTCTCCTGGTCCTTTTGGATTTCCCAAGAAAGCTGGACACTCTTTTGGGCCCTTTTACTCATTAGGTCAGGTGTTCCAGGAAGGCTGTTCTAGAATGAATGTCAGTGGATACTAAGACTTGAGCCCCGTCAAGGTAACTTTAATTTCTCCAGAAACTTTGGAATTAGAGAGTATTATCTAATAGTCCTTATTCTACCTCTAAAGAGAGTCAGGTGAAGTGCCAGAAAGTATCACCATGGAAATGAGCACATTAATCACCCTGGAGACCTTGAAAACTCTCGGTTTTCAGTAATCACACCACATCAGAGCTGGGTGTGGTTGGGGAAGATACCACCCTGGGACAGGAGAGCAGTGACAGTTCTCCTTCAGTGTCCAGCAAATGAACTTGACTTGTGCTGCAACTGTGGTCTCTCCCCCACCCCCTTCCACCTCCTCCCTACTTCATTACCCCTTATACTATCCCCTCCCCAAATGCCCTCATTATCTCTCACGGCTCAATATTTGACACGTTTCTTCCAGAGCTCCTTGCCTCATTTTGGTTTAGGTGCCACTATTCTCTCCTGGCCCTGGTTTCTGCTCCTCCTGCGCTCCCTTGGTGCCTCCTCCTCTGCCCAGCCCTTAAATGGTGCAGTTTGTCTCAGGCCTCTTGTGCTCTCCTGAGGGAATGTCAGCTGTTCACTATCTCTCCCTCCTTAACCTAGTGTGTTTAATTCTTATTCCCATCACTTTTCAGTGGTTCTGAAACTCCAAATCTTGCATAAGGATCCCTTGGTTTTCAGAAGTGAATTCCATGAAAATACAATTTGCTAAGTCATTCCTCCAGCTTTTATTAAATAACTGTTTTGTGAAAGCACTAAAATCTGGGGGCACGTCAGGAGGCATACACCCTTGCTGGTGAGGGGAGTATAATCTACTGCCACACAGGATATGTAGGTGCTAGAGTGAGCACAGGAGCAAGTTACAGGGATTTGTGTAGAACCATTACCTGTTACTAAGGACAAGTAGGCGCTCACAAAATACATTACAGTCAGGCAAAATGGGTTAGAAAAGCTTTTCAGAGGATATGTATCATGACTCAGGTCTGCATGTAAGAACTGGGAACAACTTGCTGGAAAGGAGATGGCAGACTGGCTCCAGGTGACGAGACTTGGAGTAGAGGCTCAGTCCATGTTCCCCACGCGCACATCTATGAGAAGGTTACACATTTTCCTGTTTGGCCGCGTGTGCATTGTGTGACCCATAGAGGCATGTGCAGAGTCTGGCTTATTTACTGGAATTCTCTCCAATCTTCCAGTAATCTTGACCAAACTTTCCCATAAGGGCATCTCCTCATTTCTGGCCTTCCCCCTGGTACAGTCAGCAGGGAGTGTTCTCTCCCACACAGGCATTTGTGCTCCTGCTTAGGGAAGCCCACAGCTATGTACTGCAACTGAAGTCCAGGGACAGGCGGCAAATCCCTACTTGACAAGTTTGATTTGGAAAAAAAAAAAATGAACTTTAGGTAATGGTGCAGTTTTCTTGTTCCAGAGCTAAAATAAAGAGAATTGTCTGCCCAGATGAATAGGGCTAACGAAAATAAATTTTCCATTTAGCCATAGTCCCACAGTACAACTTTATCATGAAGAATTTAGGAAGCCTGTTGGATGCTGCTATTTTTATCTTGGTCCTTGATAGCCAGTTTCTAATGATTTAATTTACAAAGTATACTTCATGCTGCAATGTTTATTTTGTCTGTGAAGAAAGTCTCTTTGGTATTTCTACTGGTTGTGGAATTTTCACATTTTAGCAGGTGACTACTTTAGTGTGTTAAAATCACATTGTGTAGTGAGAAATACTGTTGGTGGGGATAATAGATTTATATAGCAGCGGTCTGCCGGGCCTTCCAGATGTAGAATTTGGGACTGCTTTGATATCTGGAGGGAGGCTGAAGAGATAAAAATCATTTCACACGGTGAACATGGGTGTAAAGAATGCTCAGAATGCAAGTAGAGTACCTGGTAGACCTCTAAAAGTTTCTGATTTTACTAATACCAAGTTTTTTTTTTTTTTTTTTTTTTTAATAAAGAGATGGTACTTGTGTACAGTGGCCTCCAGGGGTGTCAGAAAAAAGATGAAGCAATGATGCGTTGGTCAGAAACTTTAAAGAACAGAATTCCATTTTATAGTTGTGATTCATAATCTGATTGTTCATACTCTCTAATAATAGCATGTAGTTAGAAATTTCGTTGTTAAATTGCTTAGATAATCTCAATGACAACCAGCTTTCCTGTGTACATGCTTCTTTTATCTGGTATGGAGAAATGAAGTTCTCCTCACAAAAGAATTTGTTAGAAAACCCATTAAAAATAAAAATCTTTTAATTCTGAGTTTCCAGAAACTCAGATCTTTGCACCATGGATGTGATCATTCATTTAATAAATGTGTATTAAGCATTCCCTGTATTAGATACTTTAGGTGAGGGAATACTAGTCAGAAGACAGGCAAAATTTGTTTGTATGGAACTTACATTCTATGCAGGGAATAGACAGTAAAAAGAAAAGAACAAGGTACTTTCAAAATGCCTGTGTACTGGGATGAAAATAACAGAATGAATGTAACTGAGTGAGTACTTTAGTCTGGAAACAGAACTGGTAAATGTACTATACCTAAGCTGGACTTAAAGGACAAAAGGAGTCAGTCATGTTAAGTTCTGGGTAAAACATTCTTGGCAGAGGTTCTAAGACAGGAATAAGCTTGGTGTCTTGAATAAAGCATTTTTAGGATATTCTAAGCAAGTGTACTAAGTATATACGTGTGTGTGTGTATATATATATATATATATACACACACATATATATATATACTTTTAGTGTATACTGAGCATCATTTTTTAGTGTATATTAAGCATAATTTTTATTAGTAATTCACACCTATTCTTAGACTTTTTTCATTTGATCAGAATCCTCTGTGACTTCTTGTTGGTATAGGCTGGGAAGAACCAAAGGGTTCCTACCTAGATAGGCACGTTTGTTATGAATAGTAGACTCAGTTTACACATACATTGTAAATAGGGATTGGCACCAAAGGCAAAGCCTTGGAGTTTTAACCTGTATGGACCCCACTTCTTTGTCTTTGTCTGCATTTTAAAGTTCAGTACCCAGATCCAGATCCAGGTGCTTAGACCTGTCTCTTCCATCTTCTCATGTCAGTTCCTTTAGCCAGGAACTTTCCTTGGCTAATTTTTAGACACAGTAACTGACTTCTGGTTCTTTGTCCCACTGGTTAACACTTAAGATTAGCAGACCCAGGCAAATGTTTGTTTCATTGCCCCATGTACTTGGACTATAAGTAGACAATGGACTTGAGTGGAATAGCCTCTTTCACAAATTTTCCTTCTCTATCTGTTAAGGAGGGCTGTTATTATAACATTTTTTTAGAAAGGACCTGAACGACTTGAGGAATGCTAATTTTTAGCATAGAAAGTGAACAAATTTCCTCCAAAATTCAGTGGATTTTCTAGTGGTGTGTTAATCGATGAAAGTTATTCAAAACTTGTCCAGGACCTGGTAAACATTTACGCATTGTCTGCAGCTAAGATTTCTTCAATATTTTAGAAAAGCAGTTACAAGTTTTCTGCTTGGTTCAGATGATAACATATAATCTAGATGTAAGGCTAGAACCCTTGGATCTGGTTCTTCCAATGGTGCTGTCAGAATACTGAACATTTGAATATAGAACAATTTATTAAAAAGGTGTGTATATCAGTAAATGAAGATATGTTATCTTTCATTGTGAAAATATTATGTAGTCACTATTTCACAACTGAAAACCCCCTCTCTTTCACACCCACTAATCCAGCTTCTTTTCTATTTAATATTAAAAAAAAAAAAACAACAAACCAACCAACTGTTCAGCTCTCCAGGCACCTTGGGACTTCCCCAGTGCCACAGGTTATAATGTATCTTTTTGCACCTCTGGGTTGGGGAAACCCCACAATGGGCAAAAGGCCAATTTTAGACCCAACAACTCATTAAGGAGATTCAGAATCTGAGGAACCAGAAAGAGACAGTTACAGGAAGGAGACACAGATAGGGAATAATACTTAAGGCTGGCACTCTGAGCAAGTTTACAATTATCTTAATATCTTAGCAAGAGTCATGTGATGCTTAACTCATATGAATGAGGCAGTGTGGAAACTAGGAAAAAATGTTAGTTGCTATATGTAAAAGGGAATTTCATGGATAGTAATTTTTGGGAGAAATAAGGCCATTTATTTTATTTTATTTTATTTTGCTTATTTACTCAAACTATTTTTCCCCTTTATTATTATTTTAAAATTTTTTAATTGAAGTATCATTGGTTAACATCCTTGTCAGTATTTTAGAAGTATGGGGGGATCTCCCTTCAGGTGTGGTCACCACAGTGTACCCACTGAAGGTAAGCAGAGTTGGGGAATCTGCTCATAGTTTGTGGGGTTCTCACACGTGTGCTCATAATTTCAAGATACAGGGCCCCTCCACTGAGCAGCATCAGCCTGGACTATGTCGTGGCCATCAGGTTTGATGACTGACACCAACGTAGCTGTGTTTGGGTTTTTAGGAGAAAAAATAAAAACATGTGGTAGCTTTGGAGACTAGCAGGTCAAGTTTGATCCTGGACAGTAAGACCATTTATTTTAAATGATTCGAAGAAATGCTACATGAGCGTTGAGAAGAAATCTGTCTCAAAACCTCATGGTCCCACCCCTTCGGAACCCGCAAAAGCCGCTGTCACTGTGGAGAGGCTCCTGCAAATCATCTGGTCTGTCTTCTGACTATCTCAACAGAAGGAACGTCTCTCAGGGACTCCCTTATCAATGGTACCTGACTTCTGTCTAGCACCTGTGGTGCTCGAGTGGCCTTTGTTGACCATATGTGGTTGAGGCTACCATTCCCTGACTGGATAGTGTGGGTGATAAGAACATTCTTAATGTCAAGATGAAACTGCATTCTTCTCTGTAGCCAGATTTCTTTTTGATATACATGCTATATTCTCTCCTTTTCTCATAACTCATTCCAAATACATGAAGACAACTGCCATCCTATAACTTTTAAGTTTTCCCTACTGCTGAACATATCAGATACTTTAACTCGCCTCATGTTTCCAACTTTTACTCTAGTTGCTCTTTTCTGCACCAACACAATATGTGGAGTGTCTTTATGAAACCCAGGACCTATATAATCCTCTGGATGTTTGGATTAAGATTGTTTGGCTTTTGGGCCTTCCTGGTGGCTCAGGCGGTTGAGTGCAGCGCCATGAAGCTGTCTGCAGCCTCTGCAGTGTGGGTTCAATCCCAGCTGACCGGAGAGATACCCACATGGCGCAGCAGACCTCCTGACTCACCTGCTGCTCCCCTCAGCAGTGTATTTCAGTCAGTCTGCCTGTTCTTTTCCCTGCTCTGTCTCTGGTGAATCCTCTCACCCTCTTGCACATCTGGCCTGTTCCCTGGTTCTTGTATAAATAAATAAATCTTTAAAAAAAAAGATTGTTGGTGGCTTTTTATGGCACAGAATGTGTCTATCTTGGTGAATGTTTCATGTGAGCTTGAGGAGAATGTATATTCTGTTGTTGTTGGATGACATAGTCTGTAGATATCTGTTATATCCAGTTGCTTGAGGATGTTGTTGAGTTCAACTATGTCCTTACTGATTTTCTGCCAGATCTACCCAGTTTTGATAGAGGATTCTTCAGTTCTCCAACTGTGATAGAGAGTCCATCTATTCTCCTTGCAGTTTTATCAGCTTTTGCTCCACAAAGTTTGATGTCCTGCTGTTAGGCACATACACATTAAAGATTGTTATGTCTTTTTGGAAAATTAATAACTTTAATGTATACAATGCCCTTTACCCTTGCTTTGAAGGGGATTTTGCTTTGTATTTATTAAAGTATACTGTCTCAAATTAATATAGGTATTCCTGCTTCCTTTTAATTAGTATTAGTGTGATGTAATTTTCTTCTTCCATTTCTTTCAATCTGTGTCTTTGTATTTATTTATTTATTTATTTATTTATTAAAGATGTATTTATTTATTTATACAAGCACTGGGTACAGTCAGAAGCGCGGGAGGGTGAGAGAATTCACCAGAGCCAGAGCGGGGAGCAGAGCAGGCAGAAGGACCGAAGTACACTGCTGAGGGGAGCAGCGGGCAGCAGGAGAGGTCTGCGCGCCATGTGGGACCCTCCTCCGGTGGCCGGGGAGCAGCTGGGGATCCAACTGGCGCTGCAGAGGCTGTGGGCAGCTTCCAACCCAGCGCTCAACCGCTGTGCCACCGGGGAGGCCCTGTGTCTTTGTATTTAAAGTGAGTTTCTTGTAGACAGCATACCTTGATATTGAGTCTTGTTTTTCAGCCTCTCTGACAAGATGTCTTTTAATTGGTATCTTTAGAATATTACCATTCAAAGTGATTATTGATCTAGTTGGATCGACATTTATTTTATTTACTATTTCTATTGCTGCCTATGTGCTTTGTTCCTATTTCTGTCTTCCATTC